TAATAGCTTCTTGTTACTAGTAAGGCACTTGTTACTAGTAGCGATGCCAGCCCCTAGTAGCGTCGTTTCTCATCTGAGGATTCGGCTAGGCTTTGGAGATTTGGCTCGGTCGGGCGAACGTGTTCGCCCTCGTGCTCCCGCGCGCTAGGTGCTCCAGTTCTCTCGCGACTCCGGTTCTCTGTCTTCTCGTCTCTGTCTTCTCTCGTGTCTCTCATCTCAAACTTTGCACTTTGGCTTCTGCTTTCGCCACGGCCATCCTGGCAACGATTCCATAAATCCGAGAAACACTTACGTTGAGTAAGCACGAGTTGCAAACGAAACTTTAAGCCAAAAACCAAAACAACTTGTTCAATTGTTCTCTAGGCACCTTGGCACGCACTTTGGCTTGTGCACTGTAGCAGCGCAAGAACGATGATTGGCCAATGCCATCATCGCCCAGCATACAAGCGTGTAAACATCGGTCGTGGCGATCCATCGCAGTTTTCACCTGGTGATCGAAGGAGCATGAAGGAGCTTTAGACATTATATAGTAAATGTGCTCTCTTTCTGTGGACCTTTCTTCCTTTGTTCTTCACTGATTCCTTTTTTTCTTTCTTTACCTCCTCTGAACAGTCGACTTTCACTTTTTGAGATCCTGACAATTGCCGCCGCCCATCTCTCTGTCTCTGTTCCGTTGAGCCATAAGAGGGCCGGAGTTCATCTGCCATGTCACTTGCCAGGCGTTGCAAGAAGGTACCTCCAACACTTTGGCTTTGGGCACGTGTTCAATTGTCTCGTGGAACATCAGTTGCATATCATTACTCTTTGTGCATTGCCGCATTTCTTTCAAATGGCCGCCCTGCGGGAACTGTATTGCTATCCGGTGAAACACCCATCCTGGTGATCTGTTCGTTCGTTTCACAAACTCACCAGGAGTCTTTGATGATCATGAAGCAGCTGTTGAAAAACCGGGAATGTGACGGCTGCCGAATCGATACTTCCGACCGTGTCGACAGTGTGAGCCGTATCTCCCGTGTCAGTTCTGTCCCGTGCCGTCTCAGGGATGGGACAGCTACCGCTTTCTGAGCTGTCACTGCCTGCGCTTTCGCTTTCTAAACTGAAATGCTCAAAACTGAAATGAATCGCATGTCGTCACGTTGCGTTGCCAATTGATCTTGACACAGCTGGTAGCAGCAGTAGCATGCCAGTGCGGTGGGGATGCCGAATTGGAAGTGAACTCGTTTCATTGCAAAGCAACTCCATCAACTGTTCTTTCATGAATTGCTTTCCTCACTCAACATGTCTTACATGCCGCCAAGAAGCTGCTTTCAACCAAAAGACTCAGCGTTAATGGATCCTTAGGCGCGCGGTGTATACACTTGATGCGTTACTAGGAACAGGCATCGCTACCAAGAACAAGGACGCTACTAGAGGGCATCGCTACTAGGAGCAAGAACGCTACTAGGGGCTCCTGGCGGAACTACTAGGACTAGGAGCAAGAAGCTACTAGGAACAATAAAGCTACCATTGATTTACCTATCGAGCGTTGAATGACACTTTCCCCTTTCACCGCTTGGTCAGAGCAATAGCACTGACCCAACACGAACCCTGCACGCGGCAAACGCTCACAAACGCACACACCATCCTTGGACCTGGGTCCTGATCTCCGTAACAAAGCCTCAAACCCAATAGAAAAAGAAACCTAAAAATAGCGATGGCCTCCACCGTACTAGCGATGGCCTCCATCCTAAGACCAAAAGCCTCCATCCTAAGACCGAAAGATACCGAAAGCCTCAAACCCGATAGCGATGGCCTTCACCCTGATAGCGATGGCCTCCATCCTACGCATCCTAAGAGCGAAAGCCTCCAACCTAATAGCGATGTCCTGCAACCTACTAGCGATGGCCTCCAACCTAATAGCGATGGCCTCCATCCTCAGAGCGATGCCCTCCACCCTACTGACGATGGCCTCCAACCTGAGAGCGATGGCCTCCACCCTAGTAGCGATGGCCTCCAACCCACCCTCCCATGCTGTCCCTCGCAGAAAATGGGCATTCAAAGAGTCTCATCATGGTGGTTGTCACAAGAGCGGCGCCGGACCTCTGCACCGCAAGACAAGGGTTCAAGTTTTCTCCCTTCCTGGACAGCGACGCCCAAATGCACACCATCCCATCATAGCCCATCGACACAAGTTTCTTCAAAAAGACGCCATTCACTGGACTCATCCTCTCCAGCTGTTTCCCGCGGCCAACCCACCATGTTGACAGATTGTGCTCGCTCGCCCACGCAAAGACCCCAAACCAAAACTCATGCATTGAAGATGCGCTTGGTAAAACTGTGACGAATACTGAATACTGTGAATGTCAGACAAGTGCAAATCATATTCAATAATACTGTGAACATTGAAGTGCAAGTGCCAAGTCAGAAACAAAGATTCACAGCGCCCTCCAAATGGTTGCACAAGGCACGAGGCTCTTTGCCAAACACATGTTGTTTCGTGCTGGCTCTTTCTCTTGGTTGCTGGGATCGGTGTGCTACAATCAAAGCAACCAGGAATCAAGCTTGCGGATCAGGTTAAGTCGGTAATTTTTTCCTTCATGTTCCTTCCCTTACTTCTTCCTTCCTTTATCCTCCTTCTGAAGTGTCTTGATCTCTAGTGAGGTAGCCGTGCGCAATGTCTGCTAAGGATCTCCATCCACTTTTTTTCCCGCTCCACTTGACCATTCCTATAGCTACTATCAGTTGTTTGATTCTGGATGTCAAACTGATGAAGGATTTATAGGTCCTATATCCCCGAATATGGTTGTATGCTGCAGGGAACTCAGAGTGACAAGGTTCACTTCCACCTTCATGGTGGTTGAAATGGAGTCGATTCAATCCGCCCTACATTCAAATACTACACCACCCAAACATGCGAAACATTTACGTGTTAAACTTGACTGCTGCTAAAGGCAAACGACAACCTCATTCTTCACAACCTTGCGTCCTCTCCCTCTCTGGCTCGTATATGTAACGAACACACTCACCTCCCGAACAATCAAAAGAAGTAACAAATGTGACGCCGACAATTGTAACAAACACGTGGAACCATATGCAGCTCAGCGTTTTCAAAACCACTAAGACAAGAGCAGCATCGGGCTCGTCTTGAACAGGTTTGCGTTCCTTCCTCCTGAGCATACGCTCGTGTTTACTAGTTTGATTCTCGCACGGTTCCTTTTCGCAGCAACGAATCGACTCAAGGCGCCT